TTTAAATCATTTTTAGGTGACATTCAGATACTTGTGTTTTGCATCTATGCTATGTAATAACTGTGTTACTTTGAATGAAATACATTTACAATAGTTGACTCAAAGTAGTTGTTCCATTCACATGAATAGACCTTTTAAGCTTCTCCCCCCCTTTCTACCCTGCTGTTGAATAAAATGATAAAGAAAAGATCCTATTGTTGTTGTTTTTTGTGTGAAGTCTAACTTAAATGTATTTGCTGAACCAAGAGAACTCAATAACTTTATTGCTGCTTAAGTAGCTTAGTACAATATCTATAAATAACCGGTTGAAAGAATAGTACTTTGTGGAAGGGTGTGTTGAAGCTAGACCCCTCTGATGTCTCAACAACAGTAGGGCCTTTCCCAGACATACAGCAAGAAGTCTTGCCACTGATGCAATGGGGATGGAATTGGTATAATTAGAACTTTTTCCCTCTAACTATGCTGCCTGGCATACTCACACAGCAAAGAGTTCAAGGTTTTTATTCAAACTCCCCCCCCCCAGATTTCCAGGTAGAACCCATGTTGAGTGAGTCCAGTCATTTAACTCAGGACATCAACAAATGCTAGGCAGAAATCCAGTCTCAACAGAAGACGAACAGAGTCCAAAGTCAGGATCAGCTTGTGGAAAACCTGCTTCCCCAATTGTTAGGATTCTTACCTCATCCCAGTTCTTCACTACTATGCTTCAGCTTCCCCAAAAGCTGTCTTTTAAGAGAAAGATACTTTATAGGTTTGCAGCAGTGGTGAAATGTAAAATTTGTTATTACCGGTTCTGTGGGCGTGGCTTGGTGGGGGGGGGGGTAATGTGACTGGATGGGCGTGGCCAACTTTTTTTTTAACTTTTAAAGCCATTTTTTCTACAATCTCTTCGGCTGAAGAGGTTGTAAAAAATGCTTTTAAAAGCCTCTGACGATCCCAGCTGAGTTGCCTGATTGTCAGAGGCTTTTTTTTCTTTTAAAAACATTTTTTTACAACCTCTTCAGCCGAAGAAGTTGTAAAAAAATGCTTTTAAAAGCCTCTGACGATCAAGCAACTCAGCTGGAATTGTCAGCGGCTTTTAAAAACATTTTTTCTACAACCTCTTCGGCCAAAGAGGTTGTAGAAAAAATGCTTTTAAAAGCCTCTGATGATCCCAGCTGAGCCACGCAATCATCAGAGGCTTTTTTTTTTTTACTTTTAAAAGCATTTTTTTGGCCGAAGAGGTTGTAGAAAATATGCTTTTAAAAATAAAAAAAAAAGCCTCTGATGATTGCGCGGCTCAGCTGGGCGGGGGGGAAGGGATTTTTACTACCGGTTCTCCGAACCACCTGCCACCATCGCTACCTGATTGGGCGATCCAGTCCGAACCGGAAGCATTTCACCCCTAGTTTGCAGGTCCTCCTCTTAGAATCTTTAAGGATTTTTATATGTACTATGTTCAAACAAATGGGTAAAAATAATGTAAGGGCATGGGTGGAAAAGTGCAAAAATATTTTATTTATGCATGTAAGTGACATTGGAGTATTTTGTTTTGTTTCTGTAAGGTACATTATGTAGCGGCTCAGGTCCCATAGTGATTCCATGTTCCCTTTCCTAATCAGTGTAACATTGGTAGAGGACAAGGCAATCATAGATCTTTTTCAAATGCTTTGCAAAATTAGGGATAGAAAGAGTGATGGTGTAGATATGTTGTTAGAATTATTTTAATTTAAGGATAAATGGAATAGAGAAAACTGATGAAAGATTACTTAGACTGCATTTTTGAACAAATAACTCTTCCTAGTTTGAATTCCAAGTGAACGCATCCAAACCTTTCTTTTCCTATAATAAGCAACTAAGAAGATATTCTTGTTTAAGATTCATAGAAATGACAATGACACCCAGACTGAAATCTTCAATAAAAATATGTCTCACTAGGCTGCCGTTCACTGGCTTGGCTTCATAATGGAGAATGTCATGCTAATTTAGCTGGATATTTGGGGGGTTTAGTTGTGATTTGCTTTATTACTGTTATTTGCCTAAGGACTAACTGAATAAAATTTAGTAATTCTTAGTATGCTATTTCTTAAAACCATCATCATACTATTTTCTCAAGAGAGAATGATTTTGCTTTGTATGATGGTCCTTAGAAAATCTGACAAAATGTTTAAATGAAAACATTTATGCTTGAAGCAGTGAAGACGAACTTCACAGTTAAAGAAAGCAATTGTGTTTGTATAGTTTGGAAAAAATGTGTTGCCTCTGTTGTTTGACTGCAGAGAAACACATAAAGAAGTGGTAAAAATGTCAAGGTCATAATGTTCATGAAAGCCTTTGCCCAGTTAGGAATTTTTATTAATTCTTTAAATGCAAATACCATGGCACTGTGGACAAGTTCCATACCTCCTGCAGAGCAAAAGGTGGAAAATTACAATTAGCTTTTCAGAAGGGAATGTTACGTACTAAGCACAAGAAGCCAAATTCTTTTTTTTATCTAAATGCAAATGTATCCCTTAAATTGAGACCTCTGAGATTATCAATATTAGAATCATCTCGTTTTTATAGTGAAAGTAAGAGACTTTTGGGGCCAACAGGATTTGCTCTTGTTTCAGGGATGCTAAATACATTCCTTCACTTTTCATATATCAAAGAAGAAGAATACATATTTGCCTGCTTTGACAATTTAATGTTATATATAGTCCTGGAATATTTATTGAGAAATAACTAGTTTTCTGAGAGATCTAGCAAAGGTGGTTTTCTACAAGCCTTCATCTATTCAAAACACGTGTAGAACAGGAATGAAATGTGCTATTTGTCTGAAAGGAAAAAAAATCCTTTTCCAAGTGGTTTTCCTCACAAATGTTTTTCTGGTTGCTGAGCTCATATAAGGGAACATTTCTGTATCTAATTGGCTATCTCTAAACCTATCTCTAATCCTTTTGCTTAAAAAACAGAAAATCTTGGTCTTCCAGAAGGATGTTAAATCTTGGCTTTTCCCCAAATGTTAGCGCCAAGATGATAAGGGAGTGCAATATATGTATACATTTTAACATTTAACCATAATCCTAACAAAGCTAATAGGATATACAAAATTCTTTTTCAATATACTTGTTTCTGCTCATTTTTTTCAAGTTATGTGAATAATAATCTTTTAAAGCAAATTCCCTGGTATGAATCATACTATCCTAAGACTTAAACTGCAATTTTCCAGGTAATATGCAAGGCTAGAACAGAAGTGGGTTATATGCAGTGTACTGTAATAATTAAATTCACATAAGAGGCACTGTCAAGAGTGTCAGATAAATTCTAGCATTAAATCAAATCACAGCTAATACATATCAAAATAAGTATTAGTTATGAAGTATATTTTCTGCTGGTATCAAAAAAGCTACATTTAAAACCATAATATATATATTATAAAACTTTATATATGCCAAATTAATACTCTCCTTGATTAAATATGCAAGAGATAGTTTATATAGACACAAGCACATATCCATCTTAATTCTTTGAACAATTATTGTGTGATTTGGGAAGCTATTTACTTTCTGTTTTGCATTTTCTCTGCAAACTATTAAATTGCAAACCATTATTTTAAATTAAGAACTGCCTTGAGTGAATCAGAAAAGTTCTATATAAACAAACTAAGAAAGAGAATAAATCAGTGGCTACTAGAAACGTGGGCTTTGGCTGACTTTCTCATATTTATTGAAGAAGAACTGTTCTGTTTTTGCACAGTTCTCCAAAAAGAATCAAGATGGAAATTATTGCAATAAAATATTGTAAAGGATAGGTGTATATACCCCCTTAGCCTTTGACTCAGGACAAAGCATAAGATAAATGGGAAGCAAAGTAGCAGGAGATGGTACTTTTTCTTGTTTAACATTGCAACAAGAGCGTAGCATTTCTGTCACAATAGCAGTATACTTAGCTTCAAAATCATGGTATGCTACATATTTTAATTTCTAATCTTTTGCTTTGTGCAGTAGATTACAGTATACTAATGTTTCAGTATGTCTTGAAGTTTTTCCATATATAGAATATTTCCAGTAATATTTGCCTACTTGTTTTTCTTTCTATGGCTCCCCACCCCTCATTAATGTGGAACAGTCATAAATATATTCTTACTGAATTGTGGGAAAGAACTTGACCTTTGTACAAGGTTAGATTTCAGAACTGAAGAAAACCAATAAGAAAATATAGAAACTTTGAGTAGCGGCAAATATGGTTGCTCATCTCTTCAGTATGATCTTTAAAGTAGGGAGTAGTTCTAAAAAAATCACTTGACTGTATTTGATTGAATATTTAAAAATATATTTGTTCCAAAACTATTGGTTATTTATGGCAATCCTAGCTCTCCATTTAGATACTGTAGTAGAACTAGATTTTTCCGTCATTTATAGTAACAGGAAGATGTAGTAATTATATTAAAATTCAACCTTCTTCATGTAATTTTCCACTGAGAACCACCTAGGCACTTGCATACTTGCAAGACTAATATATGTAACCAAATATAGTGATTCGAGTGAGAGGTGATAATTGCCAATCTAGTTTAATTGATAATCATCTTTCACTTCATTGCAATCTAGGGAGCAGCAAACTAACCCTTCACAGAAGGAGCAAGTTGCTGCAAATAATTTCATACAATTTTTTCTTTATTAAAATTTGAAAGATCATCTAAATGACTACAGGAGAGCAATTATTTGTACAGAACTGTCCCTCATTGTCCCTAATTTCAAGCAGGAACCTATGATGCTTGGCATTTAGTTCCACAATAGAAATAAGACTGCAATCCTGTAACCATGTATCTTGGAGTAAACTCTATGAATCTCAGCAGGACTAATTTATCTGTTAATCGGTATATATTTGCATGTAACTATCATGTGTGGGAAAAAAACTCATTTGTCTTAGTCCTAGTGACCAGTATTACAACTTGAATACACAGAAAATTTACTTGTTTTCAATTATTTTACATTTAAGATTTTGACATGTTATAATATTGCAAAAACATATGACAATTCTTAGAATTGTAACATATTTATTATATACATAAAATAGAAAAACAACATCTAAAACAGTATCATTTTAAAGAATCCATAGGATCACAATAAAAAATAACAGATGAGCCATGGATGACTTTTATTTACGTTGTATGGTGCCTTTGCCTTTCTTTTTTGTATGTTCATATAAATAGGATATGTTAGTGCTTGCGTTTGTGTTAACAGAACAGTGTAAATGCCAGTGATGAAGTTCTTGATATATAAAATATATGCAATTTTGAAAGAGTATGTACACCATATATAGAAGCAGAAGATGACAATTTAAGAAAACAGTTTAAATTTAAATATTATAAAAGTAGAAACTAAAGCCAGCATAATGCTAGGCAAGTTCACCACATTTTTCATAAACTTCCATTTTTTTTATGTTTACTGATATCAATCAAATCAAATTATTATTTTGAAGTTGGAGCTCCAGTGTAAATATATTCTTTTTCATAAGTTATCTTTAGCTTTTCTGAATGGCTTTTGCTATGTTACAAGGAAAGCAATTATCCTAATAGGTTTAGCAAGATTCTGTTCCCTCATCCTTTCTCCTGTGCTGTCCCTGTTCCCCAATATTAGATTGCTCACACTGGAAGGGGGCAGGTAATAAAGTGCTTTATATATAAAGTATTTGAAGTCAAAATTCTAGTAAAGGGATCGATTCCATTTCATTACTTGTTTTAAGTGCTCATGACTGCAACATCCTGCACAACCCCCAAAAGCCATTGATTTAACCAACTTGAGTCAGCATTCTTTTTGTTCTGACCTAGGCTCCCTTAAAAAGCAGGAAGCAGAGTCTTGGTCATGGCAAAACCCCTTTTATTTACCCGACTGTGAATTTCTTTCATTCACAGTTAGCAAGGCCTGGCAAACAGTCTTTCAAAGGAATATTTATCAACACAGACCTTATCTCACTTGCCAGGTAACTAGTTTCCAAATGCAGTGCAAGGCAAAACTTGGCACAGAGTCACGGACAGATCTTCCCACTCTTGAAACAACCAAACAAATGAATTATTTCCTGCAAAAGCCCACTCCCCGTTCACGCCTCTTTTGTTTCCTATGGGAAGGGCCTCCAAGGTGTAGCTTTACTCCTAAGTCGACTCTGCTTTCTTAGTTGTTCTTGTCTTCTGGCAGCTCTGCGCATGTGTACACTGGGAACAGGCTCCAGCTGTTCCTCTGCCTCACTGCTGTCTAGCTCCCTCTCCACCTCCAATGCAGAGCCTTTGAGCTTTCCCTAGCCCCCAGGACTGGCCCATGTTCCTCCCCCACCTCCTCACTGTCTGACTCTGCTGCCAGCTCTGCTGGCCGCCAGCGGGCCACAACACTTTTGTACTTCAGTGGAGATCTTATGTACTGCTTTTATAAATGACCATTAATATATTGGTCATTTCCATTTACAGTATATCTACAGAAACCTGAATATAAACCTAACCAAATTCTCCTTTATGATTGCAATATACTAATGTAGCATTCAGTTAATCTCATTCATTACAACAGTACAAATAACAGCAATTACTTTATCCATCACAAGTGTATATACATATTTCCAAAGAAGAAAATGAAAGCTTCAACTTTTAAATTATCCATACATTTCTGTGCGGCTTAAATAAAATATTTAAATTGGATATTAAATCTATATTGATTAGGAAAACTTTAAGAAAGTAATGACAAGGCATATTCTGCCAAATTAATGGGTTTTACTTTTAAGTATCTTGTTCCAGTCCAGAAAAAAACTGTGAGGAAATTCTGTTCACAAAATGCTTTGACCAAACCAAACTGATGATTGTTGATAAAATGGAAATGCTAGAGCTGCAGGAATGCAGATGTGGATGTATATCTTATTACCTCACTTGTGGATTGTTACATTTAGTTCATACTTCTCATCCTATTGCAAGAAAAAAGGGGGTTGTGTAAGAGAGCTCCAACTATTTCTGCAATCTGAAATGAGGTGTTTTGAGACAAAGTGAATGGGTTATGAATTAAAGTTCTTTTTATACTACATTTGGCACTGTTCCCTCACATTCCAGTTTTAATCTCAGAGGTTGTTCATGAAGCTTACACATATGTTTTTATGCATAAACAAATGCCCTTTTCAGACACATTTTTTAAAAACCTGTAAGATCTTTTTCCCCAGAGCTGATTTCCACTGGTGAACAAAGCTTTTCATATTGACTATCAGTCTGCTTGTATGAACATCTTCATATCCAGCTACAAGATATTTCAATCCTGCCGATGAAATAGACATATGGTATATCTTAATGATTTGTGCTTAACATAAGATAAAGATTACTTATCATGAAAGATAAAAACATTATTTAATTACAAGAAAAGGAGAAATAATGTACATGAGAGTACTGCTGTAAACTGTCCAAAGTCACTTCAATGAAATAGGTTGTATGGAAATTTAAATAAAATTAAAATAAAGTAGTTTTAGATAGAATTTTCATTGTGTTTATTGTACGGTAACAAATGCAATCCTCGATTGCCAATTAGTCAATATATTTTTGTAATTGCTGTGTGCATGATATTGTCAAGATGATATCAGTATTATTATAGCAACTGTCATTTACAAGAGATTGTATCTATATCTCCTTTAAATAAAATATGTTTACTTCATTAATTGTACGGCTTCAGCAAAGTTACATTGGAAAAGGCACTTTGTTAAATAAAGTAGCCATACAGCAATTTTTGTTTCTCTAAAAAAATTAAGTTATCTGCATTAAGTTATTTAAAGGTATAAATTAAATTTGCTAGGAAAATAATTGTGTAGAAGATCCACAGTGATAAAAGTAGTTAGTATATATTATAATGGGTAAGCAGTGAAGGAATTGCTTAGTATTATATTAAACTGCTTTAACAGTATAGGCAGTATGGCACTTTCATTTTCAGAAGCATCAAGCTTTTTTTAGCACATGGAACAAAATGAAATTTATATAATATACAAACAGTGCAATATCTATTTAGCTATCTGTATGATATATACAATCAATTATATATAATTAAGATTTTATGAAATAAATATGGAATATATATATATAAAAGCCTACCAGGATTAAGTATTGGGCAGGTACAACCTCGGTTAGTCCATGATTCTGGGTAAAGAATCCGTTTTCCTTGCAAAATCTTCAGTTTTGTAGATTTCAGTACTTTCTGGATCATCACATTGACCTCAGCATGAGACCCTTTATCATGAGCAGACAAAATCTTTGCCTTTACCACTGTGGGAAGACAATTTCAGAAGGAAGAATATATCTTCTCTTTTTATTCCACTAGAATGGAATAAAACATAAATATTGACTAAAAGCAACATGTGCAGTGTACTGTAAATAGATCCTTTCAGAATTATTTTTACTTACTTTTAAAAGCCATACAATGATGTTTTATGCATTTCCATGTTCCATTGTACACTGCATAATGCATATACACACACGAATACACATACACAGATATATGCGATACAAGAAGAAGAGAGAAATCAATCAAAGTAGTGTCAGATCCTATCTTTAATACAAGGGTTACAACCATAATGGAGCCTGCCCATTAAGTTGGGAGGACCCTAGTGGGGAGGACCCTAGTGAATCATGTTAAGTGAAGGAGCCCCAATCCCTGCTCTCCCCAATGTGTTCATTAAATGAATCAGGGTCGTTAAGTGTGCATGGTGTACCTTAGGGTGGGGAAGACCATGGGTGGCCTAATGAAGGAACAAGACCACCTGCCTCTGCCATCCCAAGGCCTCCTCCCACCCACTGAGATACCCCATACTCTGCTTCCCACCCTTTGTGGTCCTCACAGCTGTTTGGGACCCCTCTGCACCAATCCCCTGTCACCGATTTGGTCACTTTTTTAAGATCTCCAGTGCTCAGATGTCAAGAGTAGGAAAGAGGACAGGCATTGCTGGACCATGTGGCAGAAAAGTGGCCAACTTTTTCTCAGACTCTGGCAAAGCTGTTTTCCTTTTGTCACTAAACAGTAGCTTTCTCTCCCCACTGGAAATAATGGTGTGGGAGGGAAGACATGCAGCCAATGGCAAATCTCGCCTTCCTACATGCTTGCCTCCGTTCAGCGAACGTAAGCAGCCAATGAGAATGCAAGCATGTAGGTAGGTGAGATTTGGGCTGCATGCTTCCCCTCCCCACCATTATTTCCAGGGGGGAGAGAAGGCTAGCATTTAGCAACAAAAGGCTACTGTAAGACTAGCAGAGTTAATGTTGGGGAGGAGGAAAGGCTAGCATATAGCCATGAAAAGAAACCAGCTTTGCCAGGGTTTGAGAAAAAGATGGCCGCTTTTCTGCCATGTGGCCCAGCAATGGAGCAGCCTGTTCTCCTTTCTTACCCCAACACTGAGCTCTGGAGAGCTTTGCAAGGTAAATGAGAAATCATTACAGGGCTGGGGCGGAGCATGTGGAAAACAGGCCCAGTGCCTGTGGGGACCTTGCGGAACAGGATGGGGGAGGAACAGGTGGGGGGGGGCAATTTGCTGCATCTCTGCAGTCATAAGAGTGGATGACTGCAGGGGTGCTGCAACATGCGCAACTTTGGGACCAGTTTATCTTGGGGGAGAGTCTATTGTAATTGTGAACCATCACTAAGTGATCTGTCGTAATTTGAGGACTATCTTGTATACCCGATTTGTTCTATGACCTGATTGCTAAGAATTTTATATTATTGTTTATCTCTGTTTAGAGTATCAAGAGCTCTAGTTTATTCATAATTTTAGGTTTTTGCATAAAACAAAAACAAAAAATGATGATTTTCCACAATATTATTAGAAAAGAAGTTGATTTCTTACAAACGAGATAATTCAAGCATTTAAAGTTAAAAAACTTGGAGTTTCTACTTATTTCTTGCCCCACTAAAACATGAGTAGTGTTAAAGTTAGAAACCTAGAAATAGTTCTGTCATCACAAATAACTGCCAGAAGTAAAGTGCCAGAACATTAGGGAAGAATAGAATTGATACCAAACATCAAATATACATTTTTCATGGAATATGTCTTATTAATAGGACACATACCAATAATATTACATATAATCTGTTGGAAAGACTATAACTAGCACTTAAAATATGTTGGTAGCTTTCACAGTTTATTAAAAAGAAATTCCCAAATCAAAGGGTATAATGTAGCCTAGCAGTTGAAAAATGTAGTGTCCTCATAAACAATTTTCCATTTTGAATTATTTTGCCTGCATAATTAGTACATTATTTCACACTAATAACCAGTTCTGCTAATATTAGGAATAGTCCCTTTCATACATGCTATTATGTGCATTTTTTCCCTAGTATTTTAACATATTTACTGCTGATATCCGCACCAATATGGGGACACCTACAGGATTTATACTGAAGATAGGATCTGCTGGTAGGAACAGAGGGAAATCTGAAACCTGCTATTCTTTTAAATTGTCAAAAGAATATCTTCTTTATCACAATAGGATTTGCTGCTGATGGTATATTTTGTGCACCTAACACATCATAAGGTTCTTCTCTATTCCATTTTAACAATGGAGCAGAGGGCAGCTTGCAGTTTTTTAACATGACCACAACACATTTGCCTTCTCCCTAATTCTTTGTCTTAACATCCAGTAAAAAAGAAAATATTGTGAAATCAATCATAGATTATTTTTATTGCTGTTGCACTTGTTCAAAATGCTGCCTTGGTAGCTATAATCAAATGCATGTTATTTGCCTTGAAGCAATTTACAGTAAAAATTTGGGACTGTAGAACTTATTGATTTCTCCTCAAGCTACTTTTCAACTTAGTCCAGACTAAGAGAAGAAGAAATCCATGTTTTGCTTCCTTAAAGTAAGACATAAATAATTGGAACAGATGCAGTTTCTTATCTAAAAGGAGCAAACTGTTTTTCCAAGCTAAGTCCTACTCTAACCATGGGTGAAATGCTCCCAGTTCGGACCAGCTTGGGCGAGGAGGTAGCGATAGCAGTGTTGGACCGGACACTGGTAAGATCTCATATTAAGAATTACCTAGTGGTGATAAAAGCAGCAAAATGTACTCATTTTGCTGCTCTTATTGCGTCATCAGATAATCGCCCGCCGCCCTGTTTAGGGTGACCCGCTCCCTGCTCCACCAGGAAGCGCGGTAGGACCCCTTGGAGGGAAGAGCCGAGGATTTTGTTCAGTATCTGCATGACAAAATCACTCAGATTCGGGAAGGTCTGGACTCCGACTGGGTAGGTCCAGCGAGGGTGACGGAGGCAGGTCTTGAGAATGTTATCTGGGATGAGTTTGATCCTGTGACCCCAGATGACGTGGACAGGATTCTGGATAGATTGAACGCGACCACATGTTTGTTGGACCCATGTCCCTCCTGGTTAGTGCTGGCTTCCTGGGAGGTGACACGAGGCTGGCTCCAGGGGATTATAAATGCTTCATTGGGTGAGGATGCCTTCCCCACTGCCTTGAAGGAGGCGGTGGTGAGGCCTCTCCTCAAGAAGCCCTCCCTGGACCCAGCAGTATTGGCTAAGTATCGTCCAGTCTCCAACCTTCGCTTTGTGGCGAAGGTTGTTGAGAGTGTGGTTGCATGACAGCTTCCCAGATTTGATGATATGATGAAACGTCGTATCTGGATCCGTTCCAGTCGGGTTTCAGGCCTAGGTACAGCATGGAAACGGCATTGGTCGCGTTGGTTGATGATCTCTGGAGGGCTCGGGACAGGGGTTGCTCCTCTGTCCTGGTCCTGTTAGATCTCTCAGCGGCTTTTGATACCATTGACCATGGTATCATGCTGCACCGGTTGGAAGAGTTGGGGGTGGGAGGCACCGTACTACGGTGGTTCTCCTCCTTTCTCTCCGACCGGTCGCAGTCTGTGTTGACGGGGGCAGAGGTCGGCCCCGAGGCCCCTCATATGTGGGGTGCTGCAGGGATCGGTCCTCTCACCCCTTTTGTTCAACATTTATGTAAAGCCGCTGGGCGAGATCATCTGTGGTTTCGGGGTGAAGTACCATCAGTATGCTGATGACACCCAGCTGTACATCTCCACCCCGGACCACCCCAACAATGCCCTTGAAGTGATGTCCCAGTGCCTGGAGGCCGTACGGATCTGGATGGGGAGAAACAGGCTCAGGCTCAACCCATCCAAGACCGAGTGGCTGTGGTTTCCGACGTCCCGATATAGTCAGCTGGTGCCATCACTGATTATTGAGGGCGAATCATTGGCCCCCACAGAAAGGGCTCGCAACTTGGGCGTCCTCCTGGATTTGCGGCTGTCTTTAGAAGAGCACTTGATGATCATGACCGGGAGGATTTTTCATCAGGTTCGCCTGATCCGCCAGTTGCATCCCTTTCTAGATCGGGACTCTCTACACACAGTCACTCATGCCCTCGTCACCTCTCATCTGGACTATTGTAACGCTCTCTACATGGGGCTCCTCTTGAGGTGCACTAGGAGGCTCCAACTGGCGCAAAGTGCGGCTGCGCGGGTGGTTATGGGAGCGACGTGGAGTTCCCATGTAACACTTCTCCTGCGCGAGCTGCACTGGCTCCCGGTAGTCTTCCGAGTGCGCTTCAAGGTTTTGGTTATCACCTTTAAAGCGCTCCATGGCTTAGGACCTGGTTATCTACAGGACCGCCTGCTACCACCAATAGCTTCCCACCGGCCAGTACGCTCCCATAGAGAGGGGCTCCTCCGGGTGCCGTCGGCCAAACAATGTCGACTGGCGGCCCCTAGGGGGAGAGCCTTCTCTGTGGGGGCACCTACGATCTGAAATGAGCTCCCCCCGGAGATACGGAGGATCCCGGATCTGTGCACCTTCCGTCGCACGCTTAAGACTTTTTTATTTCATCAAGCTGGCCTGGCCTAAATCTTCTCCCCTTTTTAAATGTAAATTTTAATTTGTTTTTAAATTATGGGGTATTTTAAATTTGTTCAGCCAAATTATTTAATTTGTTTTTATTTTATTTTAAATTTTTGTATTTATGTGTTTTATCCTGTGGCTGTTCACCGCCCTGAGTCCTTCGGAAGTAGGGCGGTATAGAAATTTAATAAAATAAATAAATAAATAAATAATAAAGATGGCGGCGGGCAGTTCGGAGAACCAGTAGCAAAAATCCCTGCCCCCGCCCCCCATGCCCAGCTGAGCTGCGCGATCATCAGAGCCTTTTTTTTCTTTTACATGGCTCTGACGTGCCAAGCTCTGACGATCCCAGCTGAGTTGCCTGCTAATCAGGCAATTCAGCTTGAATCGCCAGAGCCATGTAAAAGAAAAAAACTTTTTTCCTTTTAAATGGCTCTGACAATCCAAGTTCTGACGATCCCAGCTGAGTTGCCTGCTAATCGGTAGCAAAAATCCCTCCCCCTCCCCCCCCTCAGCTTGCTTACTTTAGCTGCTGGCTGCAACGCCTTGCTGTAATCCCTGCAATCCATTGCATCAGCAAGCAACTGAATCTCCCTGCCTGCAACCAAGCAGGCAGGGAGTTGTGGACTTCAACTCCCAGAATTCCTCAGCCAGCAAAGCAAAGCTGGCTGAGGAATTCTGGGAATTGAAGTCTACAAGTCTTAAAGTTGCCAAGGTTGGAGACCCCTGTTCTATTGGGTAAGTTTAAAGCTTTGGGAGCTTTAAAAAAATAAGTTAATTGGGGTTTTTTTAGTTGTTCTTTTTTTAGACCTAGCCATTTAAAATTTAGGAAGTTTTAAATTTAGTGCTTTTATATAAAAATAAAAATAAAATAAAATAAAATAATATTTGTGCAGCTTTCTGAGATTTAGTGTGTTTCTGTAGTGTTTCACTCTAACTACACAAACACACAAAATCTCACAAAGCTGTATGTGGAATTTTGTGTTTGTAAAGTGTGAAAGTTGTTTTTTTTGGGCTTTTTGTGGCTGTGTGAGGTTCCTGCTTGTTGCAGGGGCCATTTTGGGTCTAGCACAGCTGCTTTTACATTGTGGGTGAGCCAGTTGTGTTGTGTTGTGTTGTGTTTTATAGGTTAAAAAAGGGAAAAGAAGTGACATTGACTTGGCCACGCCCACCTGACCAACAAGCCACGCCCTCCCAGTCACCTTACCACAAGCCCTGCCCACTCATTAAGCCCCGCCCACAGAACCGGTAGCAAAAAAATTTAGATTTCACCCCTGACCCTAACCTATAAAGATTGACAACAAAGATACTTAAAATCTTGGTAGAAGTCAAGATGCCTTCTTACCTATCCAGTATAAAATTGTTTCTATTTATTTTTGTGAATCATGTTTGTAGGATTAAAGAATTTGAAATGAATAAATGTCTGCTAAAGAATCTTCTGCAAGAGAAAAAATATGTACTTGAATCCTGCTACAGTTGCTAACTGATTTGTTGTAATATCTCTGTCCTTAACACTTGCCTGATTTCATTTCCATGTCAGGAAAATTTTTGTCCAATTAACTGCTGGGCCTGATGCAACAGTTAAAAGCACTGGAAATCTGCCAAGAAAAACCTGATAATTTTTGCACTTTCCGGTCTATAGAACAATCAAAATGGTACATTAATAACTTCTTAATATCAGGATATACCACCTGCACAACTATAAATAAAAAAAGGAGAATTTAGACATTGAAAAGTGTTTATAATTTACTCTAATTTGTTTATTAGAAATTAGTACAAACAGCCTAGTGCTTAGAAACAATATGGGATGGTAAAGTTATGTTATATTGCTTCAGATTCATATAATTAAATGTGCACCAAATTTTTTCTATATTTTTAAACTAATTTCGGTAACTGTTCAGCCATACAGTAGACATGAATTCAAAAGTTTCATTTTGCCTCATCAGAAATGTAGCATTCAACCTAAATGCAAAGGAACTCCATTAGTTAGCTCAATTAGTTAGCTCTGAGATAAAGAAATCTGGAGTATACAGTTCAGAATGTGTCCTCTGCTTGTGTCCTCTGCTTAGAAAATAAAATTATAAGCATAGAGTCAGCTGCAATGTGAGGATGCATTGGTGTTAAAAGAAAAAATGAACCACTTTTGGAAACATGCTTCTTGGTGCTAGACTACCAAGCAAACATTGAGGGGGGAATGGGCATAACTGATCAACTTGTCAGCTACATTGCTCACTAAAGATAGAGAAGCAGCACCATGGGAATTATGCTGTAGTTTTAAATTCTAAATTAAATCTAAATTAAATTCTAAAATCTAAAAAAATTCACATTAGGTTCCTAAAGTGAACACCAACTATTTTTGATAATTAAAATGACAACATATTAACTAGCCAATTAATGAGCTGGACTGCAAAAGAATAAGGAACCATACTCTATTAAAAGTATATAATACGGAAAGATAAAAACCAAATGGGTTGGATGTCATGAATTAATTCGGACATCTCACTAGAAGAAGAAAAAATGCAGAACCTCGATAATTAGAGTTACATGTAGCTGCTGCCCTAAAAGACTATAGTTTTCAGTGGAAATGAATGACTAGAGAGAAGATGTTGAAGAAGATACAATAAAGAAGTGCCAACCAAAATATATATTTTTTATTTTGGCTAGAAAGTAAAAGACAGGAAACCTCCTTATGGCAGAACACTGGCATAGTGCTAGATGCTGAAGCAGAAAAATGAGTACAAGGCAAGAAAGAAGAGTTAGCTCAAGGGAGAAAGATCATTAGATGAATTATCCCATTAGGTTGGCTCCTTTCCGTTTAATCCTCCTGAAATCCTTCAAGACCTGTTTATACCATCAATCCCGAAGACTTGTTTAGATGGCTGCACTATTGAGATTGAGTTATTCTGAAAGTGGATTATTTGGTGATGATGTAGGCTAGGCAACCGCTGAATATCCTACCACTGTGGGGCAGAGTTTCCAGTGTTGAAACTCAAGGGTCTTGGACTACATCATCACAGTCCTTATTTTCTGACAGAGTAAATATGTATAAGTTTAATGAACTAGTACTCTAAGGCACTGAAAATTCTGCATTTGGTATGTAGCATTGTCTATTCCTTATTTTTCCAATTACAGTAGTTTTGAATAATTTTATATTAATTAGGAAATAATTATATATATATATATATTTCTGTACCTGTGTGAAACATATAGGTATATGTGTATGTATTTTGACTCACCATATGTATATTTCATGGCACAAAAGATCTTAAAATTTTGCAGAACTTGGTCTTTACATTCACACTTGCCTGTGGAAACACCAAAATACCTGTTACCATGAATCACCAACATTTCTAACTGCTATTACATCATATTACAGTCCCCAAATGAATGATATCGTTGCCCATATTCTCTGAAGTGAACTTGGAAGGAACGTATTATATATAAGAATATATAATACTTAATGAATTGTAATTAGGAAGGATACATTTCTTTCAAGAAATGGATTATTTTTGCATGAAATACTGTTTGTGTATCATGGTGAGACTGCAGGTCCTGAATTGCTCAGAATATTTGAAGAAGCTCCTTGAAGTCTTAATAGGCTATAAATGGGGAACATTTTGATGGAGATTAATTTTGGGATTAATATTTCTGAAATTCTAGCTATGCATTGGATCAAATTGCCTACAAATATTAATTGTGGTGGAAAGTCTATTGGAGGGGGTATGTCTCCATTTCCTGTTGTGTCAGGCATGTGGATGACTACTATGAGAAACAAAATGCTGAAATAAGAAATAACTCTTGGCCTAATCCAGCAGGACTTTTCTTGAGTTCTTGTGGCTTTCTCCCCAGTTTTCCAAGTGTTCCTTGTTTGTTTCATTAAAAAAAATGGAAAACTTCAGAATATATTCTACCACTACCAACAATTCTTCTAAATTTTCTTCAGGAAAAGAAACTTATGATAGGCTAAATCTTCTGACACTTCATAGTTTCTCTGTGTGGCATTCTTAATCATGTAACAATATTTTTGCCCTTCAGTTAGGTGCACTAGAACTTTATATTTTTGTCCAATACAGCAATATAAATATTAATAAATATTTTGTCAATGTGAAATCACAAGGGGTAGGTTTACACAATCCTGTAGGCAAAGGTTTTAATGAGATACTATTTATTTTAATATACCAAGCTAAAAATTTAGAAGGAATTGATTTTGGGGGAAAGGGAAAAGACAAGAAGCCAACACTGATACACATAAAAGTCTAAAATCAATAATATAAACCTAACAACATTAGTTACTTATTTGCATAAAAAATTGAGTTTCAGAACCCAGTTAACATTAATTCCAGAAACAATGATTGGAGAGAGTTCATTGGTGCCAGGAAGGGGAATGTGTCCATCAGAAAAGCAGCATCTTTGTCTATCCATACTCCAATTCTTGCTCAGTTTATTCTTAATTTTCTGGCTTTTGGAAACATAGGCCTAGAAATCTGGGTAATGGAAATCACTTCAGAATAAAAACAGAACAATTGTTTTTATATGGTTCAGATGAGATCTTGTTTCTTTTACTGAAGATTTTGTCTTTTACTTGTGACCTTCTGTTGGTTTTCCCACCATTTCTCAAAATCATCATTTCACTGATTATTAATCAGTAAAATTATCCTCCTAATGAGATAACTAGCAGGCCTGGGAACACATTCTTACCTGAATGTCGAAGAGCAGAGTATCCTTGTTCTTCCTCCCACTCCCAAGCTACTTCACTCTTGTTAAGGGCAGAATAGAGACCAGGGAATTCATGGTACCACTCTATGTCTCTATTGCTAAAAATCAAAGGAATAATGTGAAATATTTCTTATGAAATCAGTTCGGTTCAAGTGTTAATATAGAGAACTGTCTTTGTAAGATTTAGGAAATCAGAAGTAAGTTAAAAAATAATCATGTTAAAAATGTATATGTCATATTCTTAATCAGCATTGTTGTTTTCTGTTTGTTTATTTTAAAACCCACTAGAGACCCGAACTCATTTAATTTCCTCATAAAATATTCTAAGTTGTTTTTTGGATCTTGCAGAAATATAACCAAATCATTAGCAAAGGCCTTCAGTTTATAAAGTCTTTATACTTCAGTCTTTATACTTCTTATTTTCCCATTTTGTCTGATATCTCTATTCAGGAGACAAAGGACAATCTTGTCTCGCACCCTTTCGGATTTCACATGTGAGTTACCGGTAAGTCACTATTAATAACAATTTTTGCTTGCTGTGATGTATAAGCAGCTTTTTGACCCCCTTGAATAAAATTCCCATCAAAGTCCATTTCTTCCAGGACTTTAAACATAAAAAAAACAATTTAAGTTGTCAAAGGCCTTTTAAATATAATGTCAAACCTTTTAAATATAATCATGAAAAAAAAAATCCCTTATAGAACAAAATTGTTCAGATGACAATTGTTTCAAGCATAACCTCAAGAGATTTATCAGGTCTCAACTTTCTCTATCCTACATCCTTTATATATATATATTGAGCAGTACAGTATATATTTGGGGAATGTGCCATGCATCCACTGATGCTATTATCTTTTGGGCCAATGATTCTATGTATAGTTTAATACATTCAGCTACTTTCAAATCTTTTTTTTTAAATAATTTTTATTAAACATTTTTTCAAAAAACAAAAAAGACTCAAGCTACTTTCAAATCTTATTGGTTCAAGCCGAATAGCAGAAAGAAAAATCATGATGTTAATTTTGTATATCTTGCAGTCTAGTACTACTAAGCTTTTTCATTTTTGTTCATAAAATAGTATGAATCTGTTTGTAAATTTGTGCTTTTTTTGATGACCTCTACTTCTGACGCAGGATTATTAAAGGTAAATTCCTCTCCCTATTATGATAAGTCAACTTGTTCAGTTCTTCTACTCACCTGTTGATGCAGTCTCCATTGATTGAATCACAACTTCCTGCACAATCACATGGTTGACAGCCATAATGTCCAAATCCCCAGTATCCTACCATACACCGATCACACTGAGGACCAGACACTCCAGGTTTGCAGGGACAATCACCATTGCTAGGGTCACAGAAAGTGCTGTTGCTAAAAGGAAGCATGGCTGATCCAATGGGGTTGCAAGAGCACACTGCAATATCAGAACATGCATATGAGAGACTGTTCTTCATATTCAATAGAAATGACAGCTTGCTTTCTTTGCATATTGTTCCTCTTGGTTATTTTTTTCCTGAATATTTAATTTATTTATAATATCTAGGGGAAATATTCCTCTAGAGTCTTCCAAATTTTCTTCTAAAGCTTCTCCTGAAAATTATGCCTATGCCTATCTCTTCTCAAATATATAAGCATTTACAGCTAAATATGAAGCAAAAAAGTTAAATTAACTAAATGAGTACATTTCAATCCCAACAATATATAGAGAGGGGGCACTAGGTTCAAGAAGACATGTATAAATTAGGTGTATGAAATAATGCACATATTATACAGCAGGAGCTTTATTCTCATCTGAGCTCATGTAATAGAATTCAGTTCATCTGTAACACTAGAAATAAACATTTGAGGAAAAGGCCAGTGTGTAGATAAACATCAGTCATTTTCCTTCTCATCCTCTAATATCTCTGCTCATTACATTGGTTTCTCTGTTTCAATTAACAAGAAGTTCATGCTTTGATTCCATCATTTCTGATTTGGCTATAACATTACATATTATTATTTAGATCTTTTTTTTTTTTTTTGCCATCACTCAACAAACTCTGAAGTGCTCCTAATATTTTGAAAAGACTAACTTTATTTTTTTTTTTAATATACTTTGTTAAATTTTTCCGTTATAAAAGAAAAAAAAAGATATACAATCTCTATCTCCTTCAGAGGCACAGTGTTTATACAATTTACGTAATCATACGTCAAATAAACTTCATCCTTAGCTGTTCAATATTCTATGCAATATAGCTCGTACTTCAAGTACATAATATATCATATCCTAAAATCATGTTTTTGTCTTGTTCTTCAACCAATTGTACCAATTTCCCCATACTTCATAATATTTAGATTTCTCCTCATTATTTATCTCACTCGTCAATTTTGCCATTTCTGCGCACTCTAGGATTTTGTTTATTAGTATTTCTTCTGAGGGTATGGATTTATTTTTCCAGTATTTCGCAAAGGCTAGTCTAGCCGCTGTTGTAATCTGGATTATGAGTTGAGTTTTGTTGTTATTGAGGCCGTCTCCGATTATACCCAGAAGGAAGATTTCTGGAGATAAAACTATCTCCTGTCCTGTTATTTCACATAGCCAATATCGAATTTTTGACCAGAACCTTTTGGTCTCTGGACAGGTCCACCATAGATGATAAAAGGTGCCGACCGCTTTTCCACATTTCCAACACGTGGCTGAGAGATTGGGAAACATTTTCGCTAACCTAGCTGGCGCTAAATACCACCTGTGTAGCATTTTATAATGGTTTTCTCTGAATGTTACCAATTTCGTCATTTTATAGTTCCTATTCCAAGCCATCTCCCAGTCGTTAAAATTTAATCTGTATCCCAAGTTTTTTTCCCAAATATTTAGCTGATTTTTTGCTATAATCTCTGCCCTATCCTCATCTAGTAAGAAGTTATATATTTTTGCTAGCATTTTCTTGTCTACTCTTCAAATAATTTTGTCAAAATTTCCATGCTTAGCTTCTATACCGAATTAGTCTCTGTCTTTTTGAAATCTTGAATTAATCTGCAGGTAATTCCACCAATCCAAGTTGAAACCCTGGTCCCTCAATAAATCCAAAGATTTGAGCTTCCCCTTTTCATCAAGAATATCTTTATACGTGGCCAGTTTATAATCATCTCTCCTGTTTGGGGCCGCCAACGCTTCCGTAATAGAAAGCCAGTTAGGTACCTTAGTATAAATCCTCTGTCTAATTTCCTCCCACGTGCGTATAAGTGTCTCCCTAATTTTATGTTTATGAAAGTAGGATTTTTTCTTGTTCTTTGTGTCCCACAGGTGAGTATGCCATCCTTCTAATAGGTCATGTCCTTCTAATGTCAGGATTCTCCTATTTTGTAACGTGATCCACTCCTTAATCCAAATTATTTTCACTGCCTTTTGGTATATTTCCCAATCGGGGAGCCCGAATCTTCCCAAATTTCTTTTTCCTTGCAGTATCTTGAAGGAGATGCTAGGGTCACAGAAAGTGCTGTTGCTAAAAGGAAGCATGGCTGATCCAATGGGGTTGCAAGAGCACACTGCAATATCAGAACACGCATATGAGAGACTGTTCTTCATATTCAATAGAAATGACAGCTTGCTTTCTTTGCATATTGTTCCTCTTGGTTATTTTTTTCCTGAATATTTAATTTATTTATAATATAAATCATTATATCTCTGCTCATTACATTGGTTTCTCTGTTTCAATTAACAAGAAGTTCATGCTTTGATTCCATCATTTCTGATTTGGCTATAACATTACATATTATTATTTAGATCTTTTTTTTTTTTTTTGCCATCACTCAACAAACTCTGAAGTGCTCCTAATATTTTGAAAAGAGTACATTTATTTTAATATCGTATCTATAGTGGACGGTTTTTATATTATTTGATGTTTACCGCTTTATTAACATGGAAAGCAACTGTATAACAAATGCCAAAAGGTACCTGTTTGTATTAGTTGTATGAATTACATTTGGCAAACTTTATAAAAAAGATATAAAGAGCTAAATACCACCAGAATCTGTAATCATATCTCTGTTTAACTGGATACTGAGATTATGAATTTAAACAAACCAATTTCTGCTGACATGTATATAATTATTTTATATTCTTGCTTGTGTTTATTGACTTTTGGGAAAAACATTTACATATAATCCCCACTTTTTAAAAAAGTGTTCATTGCTGTTTTGTTGTGTATTTAAGAATGAAGTGTGGAAAGATATACAGTATGTTGCCCAATGTTACTAATTTTCATTATGTTATTAAGATATCCACTAATAATTTTACCTGTATATCTTTAAATGTTGATAATATTTTGAAACTGTTTAATTCTATGGTAGTTTCTTACTCTAGCTGGTAAATTTGATTATTTTTACCTGCTACTACGTAATTCTATAAATTAAAGATTAAACATGGGCTAGCATTTTTAGTCACTTTTAGCATTTTGCATGAAAACTTTGGTTAGTTAACTAACCAATTAATTAGTTAATTAATTAATGAAAATAAAATTATAAATATGAGGTCTGGGTAATGATATATGTTTAAATTGGAAAAAAATACTTTGGAACATATAGGCATGTAAATAAAGCATCTATTTGCAATTCATTAGAGGAGATGTATAATTTGTCAGGATTGTGTAGCTACTTTAAGGAATCAAACAAAGCCTGTTCAATGCATTGCAGATAGAAGCTGTGTTCACTGTACTCTATATTCCTCCTAAACTGAATCCAAAGCACTGCACAGTTAGAATAGAATAGAATAACAGAGTTGGAAGGGACTTTGAAAGTCTTCTAGTCCAACCGCCTGCTTAGGCAAGAAACCCTACACCACTTCAGACAAATGGTTATCCAACATCATCTTAAAATCTTCCAGTGTTCATCTTCATGCATACCACATAAATGGAAGCTCTAAATTATATAAATGATTCTGACCATTCTATTTGCCTGGGTTGAGGCTGATAAAATTCATGGTTGAGCGGGAATGTAGTTGAGATTGAATTAAAACTCAGGTTCCCTTGTTCCAACTTTCTGTTGTATGGATATTGTGTGCAGCAGTGGTGGGTTTCAAATTTGTTTACTACCAGTTCTGTGGGTGTGGCTTGGTAGGTGTGGCATGGCTTGGTGGGTGTGGCAGTGGAAGACTACTGTAAAATCTCCATCCCTATCCCACTCCAGGGGAAGGTTACTGCAAAATCCCCATTTCCTTCAGATCAGCTGGGAATTGGGAGACAGAGAACAGATGGGGGTGGTGCCAGTCAGAATTTTTACTACTGGTTCTCCGAACTACTCAAAATTTCCGCTACTGGTTCTCCAGAACTGGTCAGAACCTGCTGAAACCCACCTCTGGTGTGCAGTATTTATTTAGAGAACCTAATATTGGTATTAAATAACTTGTGAAATAAGTATATTTTAAGTTCCCTCCTGAACCGTATCAAGAAATGAACTGTTTCCTCTGCAGTACTTCCTACTTGTAATTTTTTTTTAATTATCCAAAGTATACTCAAATACATCTATCAGGTATGCATACATAAAAGAAGCATAAGGTAAAAACCCTAATATATTAATTTTAAAAAATCACCCAATGTTGGAAGCTTGCAAAATTAGGATTGCCTTACATTTGCAGGTGTCAGGAGCAGAAAAAGGCTTTCTAAGATCTCGATAAAAGCCTGGCTTGCAACGTTCACAATGTTGTCCTTCAGTATTATGTTGACAGTTGTCACAAATGCCCCCACTTTGGTTCCCTGATGCCAGCCATGTGTCCATATCAAAGTGACAAGTGTCAGAGTGCCCATTGCATTTACAAGCTGAAACATACCCAAGATTAAGGAGAAAGAAAATCAGGATTTTGCTGTTTTTGTAAAAAAAGGTACACATCATGGAAACTGTAAATATTGAAAGCAAATGGTATTAGAATATATGGGTTCGTAAAATGAGCAGATTGTATTACTGTCTAGTTTTTCTAGTATATTTAGCTTGTTAAATGGGAAATTTCTAAAATTATCATTTTATTTGGATGGATAGATGAATGGATGAATAGACAGGTATACTTTTTATTTAAATAATGTTTCCAATAAAATACTGTAAAAGCAAGAAAATACAATAAAAATTCATGGTCATTTCAAAATGTTAATCAAATTTCAAATCATTTTTTCCTGGTATACATTTAGGATCACTGTAAACTCTTTATGTCTAGGTACTTTTTATATTTTAAATGAAGGCTGCAAATCTTTTGATTTTAATTCAGAATATTTTATTTAAATGCTATGGGAAAATATAAGTAACAGTTCCTTGACTTTTCAGTAGACCAAACTATATGACTTTCTTCAATATGATGCTCTCCATACAATATGCACCAGTGGTGAAATCCAATTTTTTTACTACCAGTTCTGTGGGCGTGGCTTGGTGGGCATGGTAGGGGAAGGATACTGCAATTCCCACCCCACTACAGGGGAAGGATACTGCAAAATCCCCATTCCCACCTTACTCTGGGACCAGCCAGAGGTGGTATTTGCTCATTCTCCAAACTACTCAAAATTTCTGCTACCGGTTCTCCAGAACCTGTCAGAACCTGCTGGATTTCACCCCTGGTATGTACTAAATAATCTAATAAGGACTGGAATATTTTTTAAACCAGTGGGCTTTCTCTCAGGATTTTGAAACAGGAACCCATGACTGAGCAAAAAGTGGAATTAGATGACCTATAAAGTCATTTCCCAATAATATATTTATATATTATATTATACTTATATAATATAAGAGAACTTTGTTTTTACACAATAGCCTATAAATGATTTCATTACTTTGGTCTCATACTTACATTTGCATCCATTTGGAGCGCCTGTTTGGCCATTTGCAGCAAGCCAAGGTTGGTCATTGTAAAGAGGGGCACAATGCTGACAATGAGTTCCTGCAGTATTATGTTTACAAATGCATCTCCCATGGACCTAACAATTGAAAACAACCATGTCTGCAATGGCATGTGTACAAATTTTAACATTCAGATATCCCCATTACACAATTTCACAGAGTATGTGCTACTCTAAGGCAATAGAATAGCACTTTGTAATGAAAATAATTCCTTTTTGAAAACTGATGACTGAGAGCTCATCCAATAGATAATCAGCACACTTCCCTACCATGAATTTCATTGCACGTAACGCCTTCTAGTTTTAAGAGGATTTAATATTCTTAATGCTGTTTCCTACACAACCAATGAGTTGTATGGGTTTTTTTTTAAATAGAATTAAGCAAATGTATAGATGCTGGGAAACTGAGAATAGGGAGAGGCTGCTACAGCTCACACAGTAAGTAAGTTGTAAGGAATGGGAAATCAAACAATTGGAGAAGGAAGATAAGGTTGCAGTGATACTATTATTCATATTCCAATCTTCCATTACATACTTATTATACTGCACAACTTTCTCAACATAGAAGCAATAATACTTTAAAAGTGCTGCCAAAAATGAAATACATTTTTCTGAAATAAAGTACCGTTTAAGCATCACAAACACAACCTGTAGAAAAAAAGATGATACAGTTCCATTTGTTGAATAATCTTGGAATGAATGATTCCTATTTAATTCTATTTAAAAATGAGATATACATACATTAAACAATTTTATATAAAATGATACCCATTGTAATTGGCCTTCCATTAAAATACTTGCCTGTTCCTTTTTATATTATTTTTCTTAGTACTTTGTAACTTCAGTTTTATTTTGGTTCCAAAGTAGTAAAAAAGAGTGGCCATCTGCTTTACACATTTCATGTATCATATGTGTTGTAGAGTCAAGCTAGAAGATGAAAATACAATCTGTGGAGGACTAGGAAAAGTAGTGCAGACAAAGATATTTTCTTCTGAAAATACGTAGTTCTTAAGATTATTCTGCATCCTTCAAGATATTCTTAAGAAGGCCTGATTGTGGTGGGCAAGGATTTACAGTATTGGAAGCACATTTATGGAAACCATATTATAAAATATTCTTATGACGCTGCAGTGCAACATTATTCAATCTTGCTTAGAATATTATGACAGAGGTACATAATAGCAGAGTAGACTTAATGGACTTAATACTTCAATTTTATTATACCCACATGTTAACTATATGATTTAGGAGATTCAAACAAGACATTCAGTTGTATTTGATTTATCAATGCACATATTTACATTGATGATGGGATGTTCATACTAAAGCCAGTGTCCTATATAGAGGAATGGAAGTAGAATCCAAGGGAGGCATTCATAATAGTAGGTTTCCTTCCAGCTTTAACAAGCAATGTCTTTTTGCAGACCCTAATTCTTGCATACACATGTATATGCAACTAAGATCTGTAGTTAGTTTTGGAATGTAAATATTTCCTTTGGTAGTCCCAAAGGTGCTTTTTCAAGAGGCATCTGGACTTTCTGGGTTTTCTTTGAAGACGTTTTGCTTCTCATCTAAGAAGCTGAAGAAATTTCTTAGATGAGAAGCAAATCGTAAGAAAGAAAAACCAGAAAGTTTAGTTGTCTCTTGAAAAAGCACCTTTGGGACAACCATGACCTGGATGACTGAGAACCTCCATAGACATTTCCTTTGGTAAATATGAAAAATCACATTATTCCTGCTTAGTGATATGGAAAAGGCAATATCCCATATAGTGCAACATAAGTGATACCATATTCATAAAAAGCATATCAGTTACGAGTTGCATCCCAACATTTCTAGAGGATACTAGATTAACACTGATATAAATATTTCCATTTGAAAATGTTATAAGGAATTGCTAAACAGACACATTTCCCAGGCTGTTTCATTATTTTGTGAATCAACACAAGCAAGTTCATTTAACAAGAATCCTTTTACACACACACTATTTTTCATTCTGTCACTAGGCCTTTCCCTTTCCCTTCACTTACAGACTGCTTTTCTTCTTAGCTTGACAGCTCTCTCGTAATGTCATTTATTATGCTATACAAGGCAAACAGTGTTACAAAAGTTGACCTATGTAAGATAAATGAGTGACTGATTTTCACACATGAAGACAGTTGCTAGGGCATGTTTCCTTCCATTGCCTTTTTGTTCTTGAATTAATATATTCAATTAGTTCTTTTCAAATTGCCTGTTGTTTTTTAAGAAAATCCCCCATGACTTATGTTCCTCCATATACAGTATCAAGAAAGGAGTGACTAATCAGCTGTAGACTAAGTTGCCTTCTCTACACCCCCTTTGATTATTCTTAATTGTATTAAAACCCAAATGTCTTGGGTTTTAATTTACAAGTGCAGGGAGGTTTGTTTTTAATAGATATCATAGGAATGTATGCTGAAAAAGTAAAAGGCTTCGAATATCAAAAGAATAACAGAAAACCATCCTTAGGAAATGGTTTTAAACTATCAATCTTGAGCTACGCTTTCTTCAACAGAATGAAAGGCAAAATGCCACAGCAATAAATATCTTCTGTTAGGAAACTTCACAAAATAAAGGGTTTTTTTTGTAGTGTATGACCTGTCTTGCAGCCACTTTGAAACTGGTTTGATTAACTACATTTTTATTTTGAGTGTATAATTATGGTGATTGTGAGAATGCTTAAATGGAAATATATTTCCTTAAAAAAAAAAGCCTTTTCAAGTTTTGATATTAGCTTTTCTACTATTTCTACTGTTAAACAAATAATCCTACATCCTATTAAAATTACAAATGAAAGATTTCATTAGATAAAGAATTCATTAACAATAACATTTAAATACCAACATGTTATATACCTACTTACCAATGAGATGTTACACAAACTGTGAACGGGTTATTTGTCTACATCCACCAACTGACATAAGTGTAGTATTTTTTTAAAAAATACTTCTAAAATATTTAAAATTAATTATCTGAAAGATTATTAAGAAAGTAATTTCAATAGCCCTGTGACTGGGTCCTAAAAAAGCCCTTCTAAAGGGCTAAGAATTCTGAGACTGAGGCTTGTAAATGAATTATAAAAAAGAACAAAAAAGGTTTATTAGATATGCGTGGAACTTGAAGACAAGGAAATTATCAGACTGCTAGTGAGGGAAAATGCGAAAAATTATATATAATAGGAAGAAGGCTGGACTGCTTAATTCATTCTTTGCATCAAAAGAAAAAAAAATAGTCCAATCTATCAGAAACTGCACCATGGGGATAGAAGACAAACACCAATCAAATTAGCAAAGATGTTATGAGATAGCATGGAGTTTTTAATGAAGTTGCTGGGGCTAGAAGGATTACATCCCAAGATACTAAAGGAAGGGCAGATGTGATTTCAGAACCACTAACTGTAATTTTTTAGAACTTCTGGAGTACAGGGGAAATGCCAGAAGACTAGAAAAACTAACATTGTTCCTATTTTTAAAAAAAGGAACAAAGAAAACTCACAAAACTTCAGACAAATCAACCTGACCTTAATATCTGGAAAAATTCTAAAAAAGATAATCAGTAAGTTTGCAAATGCTTAGAAGAATCAAGGCAATTACTAGAAGTGCACAAGGGTTTGTGGAATAATAAACTGTTGTTTTGTTTTGTTTTTTGACAAATTGACTAGTAGATCAAAAATGTTTTGGATGTGGTGTACCAAGACTTCAGTAAAGTATTTGATAAAATTGACCATAACCTCCCTCCTTAATAAACAGAACAATGTGCGATGGATCGTCCCACTAGCAGGTGAAGTTTTAGTGTTTGAACAACCATATCCAGTGCCTGGACCTAAATCTATGTTTACACGGAGGGAGATATCTCAGGGTTCTCTCCTGGATCCAGTGTACTTCGACATTGATATTGTTTACTATATCTTTAATAACACTGAAGATATTATAAAAATAGTCCTTGATTTATGACTGTAATTGAGTCTGGAATTATAGTTGTAACTTATTGCAGTTGTAATTTTTGGCATCACATGACCATACCTGATTATTCCACATTTTTTGTGGTGGACATTAAACAAATCCTTTTTCTCTAATGCATGTTTTTGCTGGAAACTAGAAATAAATGCTGGGAATTGGCAAAAATGTTGCAAATGTTATATGACCACAGACATCGCAAATGGCCATAATGGGGAGAAGGAAAGAAGGGTCAGCAATTGAAAAACATAGTATACTAGAAAGTGGTCTAAAGGGTTTCAATCCAGTATAGCAAAAAAGAAAGAAAATCTTTGGCATCTGAAATAGGCCCTTTCTACTGGAACAAATGGGATGAGCTAGTCTGCCTCCAGCAGCTCAGGCAGGGAAGTTGCTTCCTAGCAGGCAACCTTTTATGATAATCATAAATTGTACACATGCATAGATAAAGGGAAAAGCACATTTATAATTCAAGCAACTGGAAAAAGATTGTAGAAAAAAGATCACGGGTATGCTAAAACCTTCAGAAGTAAGGAGTGGCATAACCAGTTTCAACAAAGCAGTCAATCAGGAGAAAAGTTCCATCTGAAAAAAGGAATGAGGTCCAAGGGACACATAAATGCATGCAGCCCATATAGTTTTCAAGAACTTTTGATTCCATTTCAAAATATTTGGATTTGAAGTCCTGCTGAATTGATTTAGTAATAACCATTGTATATTTATTTATTTAATAAATAAGTATACCCATTTATATGCATATAAATATGTATGTAAATATGTATATCCATTTATATGTATACCTATTCAAAGTGCTAGCAAGACTCCTACATCTTCTCTTAGCATGAGGCACCTGATGAACTAGGAGAAGCAAAAGCTGTCATTATAACCGGCTCATCTATATAGAGCCAAACCTCTGTAAGTAGTGCCTATTGCAGAAATGAAATAATCTTAACTTAAAGTGATCTCAAATTCTGTAAAAGCCATAGTATTTGTCAGTAAAGTTGTGTGGATAATTAAATTTTGCAGACAAATCCCTTGAGGTTTTTAAGAGAAACGAGGAATAATTCGTGTGATTCATGTTCAGAAATGTACTGTTATTTCACTGGAGCAGACTAGAATTATAAAAAGTCCTAGACCTGGCCTCTCTCTTGTATAACAATATACTCATATTGTTAAAATAGCAGTTAGGTATGATGTAAAAACTAGAATTCCTATTTCCTGTAAATTCAACAAATGCCTTTTTTTCCTTGTCTGATATTTTTCTGTTCCAACATATCACCTCTTGCAAAGACCCGCATCCCCTTCATATTTAATAGATATACAAACATTAAGTAGAATCAGAATCTAAGGCTGAATGCAAGTGCTAGTATTCCCTAATTAGTCCCATGCTAAAGACATTTTAAAATCCTAAGTATGTTTATGTAATTCATAACTCTTGAACAGCAGAAGTTGCAAAGAGAAGCAAGGAATTATGGAAAAACTAAAAGCTTCACTCACACTAGATCCTACAGTTTCTAAGTATTTTCGACATGGGTACTTATCAATTAAAATAAAATCAATAAAGCCATTAGCTTGTCCTAGTGTTTGTATTATGGATCCTACTAGCTAAGATTTCTGCCAAAATATTGGTTATTAATATACATAGTCTGTTTTGACATTATTGGCTTTCACTGTAACATTTTAAAGTGGCCCAATTTAGTATAGACTCCTAATAAGGAATCACTTATCTTCATTATTATTCTAGGGCATCTAATATTTCAGAGGAGTCATCTGGAAATTCTAACATTCCATCAAAATGGCGTCTAGTTGAGCACAAAGTTTTCAAACAATTATCTGCCCTTCCAAGATTTGAACAATACAAACTTACCACATGGAAGACTCCTGCTCCTTTGACAGGCCTAAAACCTTTAAGAGGTGCACAGCGATCTGCATGGCCATTGCAAAAACAGCTCCCCTTCACAATAAAATCATAGATTGCGTAGTAAGTTAGCTGTGGTGGGTTTGCATTCAGATCATTGCTATGACATGGGCAGGATTGTCGCTTTAGCAGTTGCACTCGAAGGTTGGTGATTTTCAACTGTGCCTGAATTTTAGGACTGTAAGGGTCATCAGCAGAGTTTGGAGGTGACAGAGCTCGATATATAACCTGAAAATAATAAATAAATTGAAACTAATCAGTGAAATGAAACAAGTAGGCCAACTAGAAATGTAAAAATGCTTGTGTAGAAGATGATCAGGCTGAGCCCGAGGGAGGAGTTGCACGTATGATCAGTCTCAAGTTCCTTTGCGCCCACAAGACATCTAAATCTATCCCAGCTTGAATTCTGTTGACTCTTCAACAGTCAATTTGCTTTGACCATTAGTAGTTCAGATTCTTGAAGAAAGTCTTAGCATATATTCATTTGAACTGCCTTGGCTCCTGATTTCTTGTGCCCGACAGCTTATAAAGACAACTATTAGCACCTAAAACATAGTTAGAGCAAGATGCAGTTTCTTGCAAATTTCATTTATTGAAAGCCTGTGACTCTAGACTTTATGTACACTGATTTTAAATTTTAGATTTTAAGATTGTCATTGCATGAGGATTTTTAAAATTGGAAAAATGCCTTTGAATGAACCAATAATAAAGCTCCTAGCTTTGTCCTGTCCTTGAGGTTGTAGAATATTTCACCAATGAACAAGATTTTGTTCGTTTATGAAACAGAATTGCTAGCTTGGTTTTCTTTCCTTAATAATAAAGGAATCACACATTTGTTTCTATGTTAATCATGAAACAAATAAGATCTAGATCCGGGGCGGAGGGAAGAAATAATGATCACCTAAATTTCTGCTGAATAATGGTGCTGTAGTTTAGTTTCAATGTACACCACAAATGTGAAATTTAAATACAACTACTCATCTATGACAATTCTTCTTCCATCATAATCTCTGTTCCTGAAGTAAGGATATAACAAATATGTTCCAATAATATCTCAACATCCTCTGAGTATATGTATTCTGTATTAAACTGCAGCAGGAGAAGCATGTTACGTGTTCCATCCATTGAAGGCTGTCATCTGGTGGAACCCAAGAAGAAAGACTTCTCTGTTGTACCACCTTTTCTAGAGAATATCATTCCACACCCACCACCCCATGAGAATCAGATTGGCTTTGACATTGTAGGCCATTTACAAGGCTCTGAAAATGTGGTTGTGTTCAAGGTATGGGATTCAGTTGGAGCCTGTGAAATAATTGTATTGAAATTGTTGTATTGATTACACCCTCCCTCCCTCTCAGTTTTTTAAAAAATCACAGCAGCTGATTAATATTTCGAATTTTGTTTGTGTGTGTTTTCTGCTGTTTTTTGTTGTTTTTGTTTTTGCTAGCTACCCAGTGCTGCTTGTTTGAGGCAGGTGGCCTTGTGAATTAAATAAAGCAAACCACACACATAAATTATGCAACCAAACATACTTTGAAATCTCAAAAGATTTAATTCAGGCTATTATGTTTTTCTGAATCTGGTTGCAACTTCTGTCTTAGTTTTCCAGGATTTTTCACAGATAATAAATACGAATTGAGCCTAACTACTGGTTCTTTCTTTCAATTCTATAGTATATGATAAATTGTAATCAGTATTGTAAGTCACCGAAAACAGCTATGGATGTCAGACACAAAAGACCAGGCCCACATATGAAGTTCCAATTAAACTAATTTATTGCATATGCCTATGCACAGAAATGTACTCAACGAACGTTTAGCACTATTTTGGCGCTGGATAAGGATTAACAGAATTCAAGGAGGGGTTGGATTTAGTCCATTTGTGGCTATGTAGAGATTCAAGTTGATTCATCTCTTGACTCCACCCCAACATTCTGCCACAACTTCGCCTATAATGGAAGAAGTAATCACAAGGGTTCTATGGAAAAGATCTTTTAGGTTAGATAATGTGGTTCCAGGAAACTTTGATGAAATAAGTAGATAAATATAAATATATAAGTATAAAAATATAAATAAATAAATAATGCAGCACATCTTATTTTAAAAACCATAAATTAGTTTATTTTCATTACCCATGGCCAATAAATATTTGATGGAGCAAGTGAAGGAACCCTCTTGTATTATTTAACCCTCTTTTTAAAATAATAAAGTGATGTACAAATTGACATGCAAAACTGATGCAATCCTTGTCTAAAGCCTTTCTAATGGAATGATTTAGTTGGGTTTCTGATTCTACTAACACATTGAATTGTCAGATTGTTTCACCTTCTAACTGCTGTAGAGATATGGTGTTGATTCCAAGATGTCATATCTAATCACTTTTTTTTTAATCAAGATTCTTTGCTGACCCAGTATTGGCTTCCTTTTTGAACTACCAAACTTCCCTTAGAGACTGGGGCCACTTAGGGTGGGGACGGGGTTGAAAGAGAAAAGAAAGGATTTAGATAATTTACATTTCTGAACAGAATGAATGCAGTGTGCTTTTGTCTATTCTGTCAGCATACCAAATCTGTCAGTGGCCAATGTGACAGGGACAAACCCAACTGGATATTTGAATGCCAGCAAGCATGACTTTAGAACGTATCTAAGGGTTTTTATCATATAAAATAATAATAAAAAAAATAATCTGTTGAGTACATGTAAGTGTGCCAATTTATAAATCAAATATGTTCTTTTGGGTGCATTGAAATGTATGTTGTAATGAATAATAATGCTACTGTATTTCTTCAGATACCAAGGGAGAAAGAAACAAGAATGAGAAATGCACTGGGAAAATGATGCTCATGGGTTGTGTTGGACCTGGGTAAAAATTCTGAGTCATTGACGGGTGATTGAATAAGTGGTAACAAATTTCAAAATCTGCTCCCTAATACATATGTTTCTATATTTAACCAAATAAAGATTGAATTAAACTGTGAAAAATCCCAGCTCCCGAATCTGTGTACAAGCCTGAGTTCTTCTATTTCAGTGACATACATTCCCAACTTCAATGAATTTTTAGCAACTATGGGACACACAAGATGTCTTAACGTATGAAAGAAATTAGAGTTGTCTCAAACTGCAAGATAGTGGCAAATAAATTCAATAAATAAACAAACAAACAAGCAAGCAAATAAATAATAAAATAATCTGGAACACAATAGAATTTTTAGACAGTTTCATTTTTCCTAATATGGAAAATTCAGGTTGATAATTTTTCAAGAAAAAGACCACTCATGTTTCCTTTAATTAAAAATAATCTGCATTGTATGTTTCTTTGTTCTTTCTGCATAGTTTATTTTAAAAAAGCAGATTTTAAGGAAAAGAATAACATTGATACATACAATAATTTATATTGTTCCTAGTTTTATTTATCTCTATTATCTGCACTTTATAAATGAAAGGTAGTAGTCAATCACCGTTTATAGTTAAAGGCAAAAGAGCACTTATTCATTATTTTATGACTTCATTTTAGTAATGAAAATAATTTGTAGTATTTGACAGAATTCTTTACAGACTTTTCTAAGATTGCCATGCTAACCAAACCCCAGAAAATACATAAAAGAACACAATTAAGATTACTACAAGTAAAGCATCAAATCTAGCATCAAAAAGGGAATGGAAGTACCTTGGTGTTCCTGCTTGGGAAGAATATATAGTTTCTTACCGCATAGCTCCTCCTTCCCAGAGGTCCCACAAAATAACAGTTAATTCAAGATCTATCACCAACACTGTCTGCCTATTTTCCACATTGCTTGCCTGGAGCTACAAAATAGGTTTTCTGGCTGGGTGTTAAAAAGCTTTCGATTTATTATTGCGTTTTCTGAAAAGTCCAGTATTGCTTCCTTTCATCCTCACTACCTGGATGTTTTGCTAAGCAATTGTCTATTGTTTTTTACTTCCACCAATGGGATTGCTGTTATTTCAGGCAATGAAAATAACAGCCTCCTGTGTGTCAGTACACTGCCAATACCTCCTGCTCAATGAGAAGCAGACAACAAAACAGTGCCTTGCAAATTAGTCTCAAGTTTGTACCTTATATACATAGAATAGCATGAATGTCATTATGGTAAATCTGGGTTTTGGCTGTGCTTGTGGCACGACAAGCCAAAATATGCCTGAACTGACCAATATTTTCTGTACCACCAGCAGGAAATGATAAAACAAAATTAAAATCCACCAATCTATGATACATAAAGCTTGGTTAATTAATTAATTAATTAATTAATTAATTAATTGAATTTGTATACCGCCCAACTCCTGAAGGTCTCAGGGCGGTGAACAGCCAAATAAAATACATATAATACAAATGTTAAAAAAACAATTAAAATACAATTAAATAATTGGCCCGGAAAACAAAATTTAAAACACCCCAAATTCATAAGACAAATTTAAAATTTAAAAATTTTAAAAATTTTAAAAAACAGTTTAAAGGAGAGGTTAGGCCAGGCCGGCCTGCTGGAAAAGAAATGTTTTGATGGCACGGCGGAAAGCATGCAGGTCCAGGATCCTCCGTATCTCCGGGGGGAGCTTGTTCCAGATGGCGGGTGCCCCCACAGAGAAGCCTCTCCCCCTGGGGGCCGCCAGTCGACACTGTTTGGCCGACGGCACCCTGAGGAGCCATTTAAAGTAATTTTAAAGATAAGAGAGCAGTTCTTTTTAACAGCGTCACAAAAACTTATAAATATATTACTATTAAACATAATTAACTATTTTCTAGGCAGTTTTTGTGTTCTGGTCTGTATACATGTCTATATACAAGTTTTCTTTCCACTATCAGTGCTGTTATTTTAAGGACCACCTGCTTCAGAGATGAAATTCGACCGGTTTGGACCAGTTCAGGCAAACTGGTAGAGACAATTTGAATCAGTTCACCGAACTAGTAAAAACCACCCCTGCCCATGCCTGCCCAGTCGCCACTCACCCCTTCCAATCGCTTGCTCCCCCGTTCTGGCCACTCGATCCATTCAACGTTAAATGCTGCAGCAGAGAAAACCCAAACTTTTCTCCACCACAGCATTCACTATGAGCCTTTCTGCTGCTCATATACACATTTTTTCCTACTGGGTTCTGTGGGTGTGACTTGGTGGGGGGGGTCATGTGACTGAGTGGTTGTGGCCGTGAGTGACATTGAGTTGGTCATGCCCATTCAGTCACAGGACCCCCCCCCCCACCAAGCCACACCCACAG